TCCAGATCCAATGCTATATCATTAATAAAAATCGCAAACAACAAGGGCCCCAGGACAGAACCTTGTGGAACCCCTGAGGATTGAGCAAATTCCAATGACCTTTCTCCCATAATCTGGACAAACTGAGTTCTGTCAGATAAGTAAGAGGCCATGAGCTCCAACAATGAAGAACCCAACCCCGCGGAATCTAGTTTCGACAATAATAAACCGTGGTCAAGACGGTCGAAAGCCTTCGAAAAATCCGTGTACAAGACATCCACCTGACCTCCCCTATCAATCACCTCATGGATATACTGCGCCATGCACGCCAAATTGGTAACCGTGGAACGCCCTTCAACAAAACCATGCTGCTCCGGTAGGATAATATTTCTAAGGTGAAATGACAAAATATTATGTAAGGCTGTTTCAAAAATTTTACCGAAATTACATAGTATTGCGATTGGTCTATAATTCTTTATGTCATTCCTGTTATCTTTTTTATATATGGGACAGATTTTCGAAGTTTTCCAACGATCGGGAAATATATGAGTGAACAGTATTCGGTTGAATATTATAAGAAGAGGCTTGGCAAACACAGTAGCACAATCTTTGATAAGAAAGGCAGGTATGAGATCGAGACCCATGGTCATTTTAGGTTTTAGTTTTTTTATGGAATTAAGTACATCGTTGTGTGAGAAAATTACATCAGAAAGAGCATTGGTATTAAAATTAAAATTGGTGCTGCTCAAAGGATCACTATTGTCACTGTTTACGAATGAGGAAGCAAAGTAGTCAGCAAAGGAATCGGCAATTTGTTTAGTATCATTTAACGACATGTTGTCGAATGTCATGATATTTGGGATGGTTACATTACCTTTCTTAGCGTTAACAAAAGTCCAAAATTTATTTGGACTGTGTTTTAATTGATGTTCAATATCAGCGATATATGTGTTGTAGGCCAGTTTACTTTTGTTTTTTACAGCTGATCGCAAACGTTGGAAATTTATATGATCCTCAGCATTTGAAGTGGAACGGTACTTCTTCCATGCCCTCGCTTTTTCATTAATGGCAACAATTAGGTCTCTGTTAAACCAGGGTGGGTAGGATCTTTTTGAAGGTATCTTTTTGGGAACATATTTCAGAAGAATGGAGTTTAAGGTTTCATAAAACTGAGAAACAAGATCGTTGACAGATGTGATTTTTTCCATGAAGGACCAGTCAGTCAAAGTAAGTTCGTGATACAAGGCAGGGAAGTTCGCTTTCCTAAAATTAATATTTGAGCTTAGTTGTGTTCTTATTCTCTTGATATTACTGGGAACAAAGAAGTCTATTAGTAAAGCCGGATGATGAGGATCCTCCGGCAACAACACGTCAGAAGAGTGGAAAACGGAACATCTGACATTAGAGAGAACGAGGTCAAGAATCCTGTTATTGTGATTTAGAATATTGTTGTATTGATGGAAGTCATAAAAGTTTATAAAATTATTTAGTAAATGAAGTGGAGATTGTTCAGTAAGAGTGGTATTATTAATATAATTAGGCAAATTAAAGTCGCCCACCACAACAATATCGGAATCATATATCACGTACATAGATTCAAAAGCAAAAAATAGCTTTTCGTAAGTATCCGTTGTTGTTTTAGGAGGTACGTAGATTACAAATAT